TTCTTATAGCCAGAGGAATGCACCCACATAACACACAAAAGAACCAATTTCGTTTTGTGTCGGGTCGGTGTGTCGTTTCCCGCACCTTTCGACTCCGTTTTTGCCTTCCTTTTGTGACTACTCGAATCGTTTACAAACCATCTCCCCCTTTCCCAGGCCCTATTTTGTCTCGCCTTGCGTGAGGGGAAAGTTTTTTCTGACCGTAGAGAGTCTATCGATTTAAGAGGGGGGTTTCTAAATGTCAAGATTTCGAACCAACATTTTCCTTTGATAAAAGATGCCGCCGAAATTCTAGCCAATTCCTAAAGCAGTTCGCTAGTCTACCACTTCCTCGCAAGTACAAAAAAATTTAATGGCCATCTGAAAGTCGACAAATCTCGGTTCTTTAGTATTATCGGGGGGGTGGACCTATCTTTTTTGGCATAAGTCTAGAAATGTCTAATAACTTCATAGCAATTGTTTTTTTATAGTGCTTTTCCTAAAAAACTATATTTCAACTCGAAAAAAAAACTGTTAAAAGTCAAAATTTTTGGTCGAAAAATCTATATTTTTGATATTCTTTAATACAACTTTGTAAATTTGACGTTTACGAATGTAAAAAAAAGTTTAAAATCACATTCACTATTTATATTTGAAAACAAGATGCTGAGAAACAAAGCTGGCTCCCCCCCCCCCGGATAATGCGAAAGAACCCTAACCTCTAACTAAAACCCCTTAAAATTCTAGCTCAGCAATTCCCTTTAAAATTAAGGCCTTTACGTCTTGCTTTTCATTACATTAGCCTCTACCCCCCTTTGAGCTTCGATCTTTAGCCAAAAAACTAGCTACCAACATCAAGCTTTTTGACACCTATTTCCCTGGAATCGACAACGGCCCATTGAAGGCATTGTCCACCCACCCCAGCAGGGCCCGTTCTCGCCATCCCCAATTATATCCGAGCTCCCGTCGTCGGCGGCTCAGCGTCTCTCAGCTGGTCTCCGCGCCGGCGGGAGGAGGATATCGGAAATTTGAGCCACGACAAAAACAGCTTCGACTCGATGTCTGTCCGTTCTCGTCTTCTCCGCCTCTTTCTTGGGGGCAGGATTGCGATGTGTTGATCGCTGGGAGAAGAATCGGCCCGTTCAATCGAATCGCAGGCCTTGAGAGAGCTCATCCCCAGACACAGTCAAACAGATATTCGGCTTATGAACTTGAAAATCCGCATTGTTTTTATAGCGGAAAAACGGCCGTTAGCCACAGATTCGATACTCAGATCTGCAACAATTTATAGTGCACGCCCTTGAATTTTATAGGCGGGCAGCACTATTATTCTCATAGCCGGGCATGGAGGAGAAAGGGTGACTTTTTGTAATCCTATAGACGGCGGGGATTTTCGCAATTAGCCCCGTCAACCCTGCCCCGACCGGGAAAAGCCGTTATTATGTCCCGGAGCTCCGGGAATCCCCCACCCGCCACAATGCCAGAAAAACACTTATCGAAACATCGTTAAGTGATTTCGTCTGAATTCATTCCGACCTCGTCTATACGATGAATTCCTAGATGGTCTACGCTAGTACTTCCTGCCATTCTCCGACTCCTATCCTCAAACACTTATGCTCTTATTCCCCCAGATCGCCGTCAGGTCGAATTGCGCGCGTGGGTGTGTGCATTGGACAATTGTTCTGGTTGTGTTCGCCACCGACGGCGCGTGACCTCGTTTTTTTCGGCTCTGGATGGATGGAGAATGGACTTTTTCCGTCCACCCACCAACGATTTTCAATACTTACTCTGGGGCGGTCTCTCAGCGATTACAGGCTCTTGTTTATAACGTTTTATTCTTCGATCTTCTTGAATTCTATTTCAACTCACAGGAGGCGTTTTTTAGTGACAATCAAGTTTCCGTACGCGACCAAGCCAATCTTGTGCAGAATTTTGCCCTGATTCCGAATCTGGTTTAAAAATCTGCGTAACGGCCAGATTCAAAAAAGTTATGCCGCTTTTTAGAGTGAAAAAGAAAAAAATGCTTCAACTGGGACATTTTTACCCTTTTTCGCCCTGAAAACCTCTGTAACTTTTTGAATCTGATCGTTTCGTGGGCTTTGACACCAGATCCGGAATCAGCAAAAAATTCTGCACGGAAACTCGCCTGTCACCAAAAAAGCCTCCTTGTCAGTAAAATAATTTCTGGGTTGCAAAAGCTATGTCGGGTATCCTTCACCACCTATTCCAATCACAACAATATATCCAAAAATAAAACCAAATGCAAAAATTGCAAGCGCCTTCCATCCGCCTATATTAATCACCACTATTGTCCACGACATTTTATAAACATTCCTCCATAAACATTTCCTGATCTCCCGTCCATCTATGCCCACAATCTCGCACTCATCGAACGCCCTCCCGATCTATCAGCAGCTGCGAAACGCGCAAAAAACGTTTGTTCCATTCCCCTAGCGTCAAACCCCCAGGAGATGACTCTTCCACCACCGGGCACTTCAGGGCCGCTTATCGACCCCTAAAGTCCTCTTTAGTCAGCCACCACCGCCCCGCAAAAAACTCAAAGTTGTCCTGGGCGCGCCGTCCCAACATAAGCCCCGAAACAACCCGAGAATCGCCGTAAAAACTCGGCTCTCCCCGCGACTCCCCACGTGCACTCGGGTCGACCTTTTTGCCACTTCAATAACAAACAGGCAAAAACAAATCTGCAGAGCCGCCTTCTGTTCCAATGCTTTTGTGCACGGTTTTGTAGGAATTATGACGAAATTAAAAAGCTTTTTGATAAGCCGCAGAAATTGGCTATTTAGGACTAGCAAAACAAGAACTAAGGAGGTGCACGAAAAAACAAGATAATCTCGAAAAATCCTAGTCTGCCTCAAAAACTAACAAAGGGATTTTTTCAGTGACAACTGAGTTTTCATCCGGGACCAAGCCTAACTTGAGCAGAAATTTGCGCTGATTCCGAATCTGTCTTCAAAAGCTGCGAAACGTCTAGATTCAAAAAGTTATGCAGTTTTTCAGGGTCAATAATGCAAAAATTTGCCGAAATTGCGATTCGTTCCGTACGGAAACTCGGTTGTTGCTAAAAAACTTCTCCATGTAAGCCTTCTTGGCACCAACTCGCGCCTGTCCAAGTGTCCATCTACCCCTCGCATCCGCCTGGGTTCGCATGTCCAACCTGGAGGTGACGCGGGTGCGCGAACAAGCGTTCCCTGCACCCATCAGCAAGCTTCAGCCGTTTGGCTTGGCCCGCCGCCGATCCGCCCCAAACATTGGCCCTTCCCTTCCGCTTGCCCTCTCCATATCACCGGCCTCATGCTTTTGATCGCGCCCGCTTTATGCAGCCAGCCGGCCAATTTATGCCCAACCTTGATATTATCAGTGCCGCTACGTGCACATTCTTTGGGCTAGCTTCGAGTTCAATTCAGAGAAAGAAATTAATTTTCTTTCTAAAAAATTCTTCTTGAAAACAGCTGTTTATCTTTTTAGCTTTTAACCATTTTTTTTCTTTCTAATTGACTTAAAACGTATTAATTTATCTTCTTTTTTAAACTGTAAATACGCATAATCTTTCTTTTCCCACCTACACAATAACATTTTGTAATATAAGCCCCCTCAATCTCAAGAATTCTAAATCAGTAATGGATATTTATGAATCGGCAATGAATCAGATGCTCTCTCAAAAAGGGCGCCCCGAGTTAACCACGAGGAAGGAAGCAATTATCCCGGGGGCGCGCCACATTTTTTCCGTGGAATTTATGATTCCCGAGGTTTCATAGGCTTATAATTGTTGTTGACTCCCCCGTTATGCATTTTCTAGCATTTCCGCCCTGAAATAACCCTAACAATAATATGATTTAGCCAATTGAGCCGTCGGATTCTTTCCTTCTAATAAAAAGTGCTGAATTTGGCCACTTTGCACCCTTGTTCCTTGTCTCGGGCAATTTCTAGTAGTATTCGGGGGATAAGGCGTTCAATATGTGCCTCATCTCCGTTCATTCGACGCAAATGAAATGGCAAAGTGCCGTGAAAATCGTCAGGCAAGCGCCGGCAGGGGCCCCCACGCACAGCTGTCGGGTTGGCGTGGATTCTTTGCCGGGTCGGCCAATTTTTTCAGTCGTCGATGGCCAATGTGGCCCCGCCGCCATCCCCAGCATCTTTGGGCTTGACTCTTCATTGCCTAATTTTTCTGCCGCTCAATTTACCATAGCCCATCTCCGTCAATTTCACTGACCACAACTCTGCTAGGGTCATTGCCGTATATATTTTGTTTGTGCACGGCTGTCATTTGGCGGAGGATTGACACCGGTGCGCTGCGGGGCCCTGATAAGGCCAAGCTGCATGGTGCTTTGAGACGCTTTTTCTGCCGTCCTGTCGATTCGCTCCGGGCAGCCGGAGCTGATAACGAGCGGCCGACCGGGAAAATCTTCCCACTGCCTGTCCGTTTGCGCTGACGAAAAAAAGTTTTTTTTATTTTTGAAAATCGATGAAAATATCGAAATTTTTGCGAACCGCTTGCGCTACTTTGCGCTAGTTTGGAAAGTGTACAGTTACGTACTGCGTTTCAACCAAATTTTTTGAGGAGGTTCGGAACTACGCCGCGATACGATCTCCACACGTTTGGAAGGTGTACAGTTTCGTACCATCCTCCAATCCTCCAAACTACAAAAAATAATTTTTGATATAAAAAATAAAACAAATTCTAAAACAATTTATTTTAATGTTATTTCGACAAATTGCTTCGTTTTACTATTTTTAATGCCTCCTACTCGCTATAAAGCAAATTGCCGCGAGATCCTCGCTTTCGCACGCCTCTACTATTTCGCTCGTTGCCCCCATTGCCACAAAAATATTTTTCTTGATTCCCTTTTTCTCTTTTCAAGCGTTTTCTTCGTCCATCCGCTCCCTTGGATGCCCATAAATTTACCGGCTAATATTTTTAGGCAGCTCCCGAGCGGCCCTAGATTTATGAGCTCGTGATTCCGCCGCGAGCGTCATCGTCAGAAGGCTCGGCAGACCACGAAATGGCCGCCGGAGTTGTCGTTACACAGGTAGGCGGTTTTTAAAGTTAACTTTGACTTTTCCGGGGTTTGTCACACTATATTTTAGGCGAGCACGGTGCTGAATAAACTTTTATTTTCAGGTGCATCGGGATGATTTGGAGGATGCCGACGAGTTCGTCTCCCCCTCACTCAATATAAGCGGGCGCAAGAAGAAGAAAAAGGATAAAGGTGACATTTTTTGCGAGTGAAATCAGACACGACCGGCTGGCCCTGGGGCCCCGACCTATGTAGTGGGTGTAGATTTCTCATTGTTTTTGCCTCTTCTGGCCTTTGGTTGCGTTGGGGGTGGGGAGGGGGGCTTAGGAGGCGTTGGCAAAACGTGTAGGATTGGTCGAAAAGAGTAGCGTGCGTGGTTGTCATTTTTTTTGGGTTGGGCGAGGTAGAAATAGCGCGTACCAAGGATTTTTTAAACGTGTTATGAGATTTATGACTTTTTTTGACGTTAAATTGGCTTTCCGAAGCTGGGAAGCCGTTGTTTGTGGGGAAATTGCATGTGCCGCGTTTAACGTAGGTGTTTGGTGGATTGTATGAGGATTTTTTGAATTGTGAAGGAGTAAATTTTTGGTGTTTTATCAGTATTTTAATGTTAAATCGCTTTTTTCGAAAGCTTTCCAACATCTTTCAGACCCTCCTGCCTTTACTAGCCAGTACCCAGCTTTTTTTATTAGTGCGTTCTACGTTCCACAATTTTAGATCTTGCTTTGTCGCGCTTGCTGAAAAATCTAGGCCTAATTTTAACAGGATTTTTAAAACCTTTAGATGTTTTCGATATTTTAACTGGCTACTGCAGGGGATTTCCCACAATTTCCCAGCCCTGCGTGACCGGAAAAGTAGCGTAGGTCAGCGAGCTTGTGCCGAGTATCTACCCCGTGTCCATCGTCATCCCCGCTTTGGCTCGACACCCCCTTTGCGGCTTATCGCCAACCGAAGTAACTCGATTCGCGGGCCCTTCGGCGCCCAAAAGTGTGGCTGCTGGAGTGGGGGGTTCCCTCGAGGACCGGCTTCGTGGCCCCTAGTTTTTTATACGATTTCTCCTTGCCCTTACTTCAAAAACAATCGGATCTAGTGTGTGCACTGTGACGCTATTTCGGAGATTTTATCCCCTTCAATTCCCCGCTATACGAAATCTTAGCTCCTCCATCTCACCCAATTAGCCCACCAAAATATTGCACCTGCGTTCTCAGATTACTTTGCGGGCCCTGAATCCCATCATATTTTCTGTTCCGCAACCATTTTCAGACGATTTTTTCACACAGCCAATACGCCAGGGATCCCATATTTATCGAGCAAATATTTTGTCTGCATGGCATTGCGGCTCTAGCCATGCTTGTGCCAGAATCGATGATTATTTTCGTGTCCACACCGCCGACTGCCCCACTTTTTTATGGAGAGCCAATTTTGCACTGGTGATTCTATTTTATTTGTTTTAGGGTTTTTGGAATGTGGTTTAATGGCTATTTTGGCCCTTCTTTTCCTGAAATAGATGATTCTATCTTTTCTATTTTTTAGCTGAATTTTTAGCTATTCCAGATTCTTTGATTTAGGTTTTTTGGAAGGGGTTTGCCTCACCCTTTTCGATATCTTCTGCAGGAAAGAGAATGATTTCGTGTTTTCTATCCGTTTAAATCAATCTTTGTGGCCATATTAACGTCTATAGGTCTTCCCCCATTGCTCTTTTGAGGGTTTTAATTTAATTCTATTCGGTGTAATCGGTTTTAACCAGTCTTTCCCGGCTACTTTAGTTAAATGGTCTATTTTACGCTTTCTATTTGATAAAAATCAATCTTTGAGGCCGTAATAGCATCTCTAGCTCGTCTAGAAATTTCTCTGTTCAGACCTCTAATCTAATCTTTTGGCTTGATTTAGTATTATTGAAATCGACTTGCATCATTCATTACGGTCCCTCCCTGAGTGAACCATTATATGTTTTCTATTTGTTTGACCCTATCTTTGAGGCCATACATAATCCCTCAATAGGTTTTCCCTCAATTGCACTTTTGAAGTTTTGAGGTGCCATTTTGCCCCGGGAAGACCCAAAAGAATCCCCAGATATTTTTCGCCCATTTTGCCGGGAGATCCGTAGCGGTGAGTCGAGTAATTTATTGGGTGAGAAAGGCGAGCAAAAAGAAGAGAGAGCGAATGTCGGGTCGTTTTCGCCACCACCAACTTCCCGTCGCTGCCGAGTCGCCAGCCATATCACTTGTACAGTGTGGTCGATCGGCGAGTTGTCAGGGTCGATTCGTTGTCTATCTTCCAGACAGCCGCTTCTAATGGAACTGGTTGCGAGTGTGGGGGGTGCGGTGCGGTGCGGCGGGGTTTTTGGGTTTTGAGGCGGGGACGACGGGCTTTTGCCGCCCGCTGCAGTACGATGAGTTATGACTGCATGCTATCATGTTTCTCCCCATCGTGGTTAATGGATCGTAAATCGTGTGTTGTTGAGACTGTAACTTGCCATGGGGGTGGTAATTCATGCTTTTATGTTCTGAGAAAGTAGATTTTTCAGGAAAGGTCAGAAGAGAAGCTCAGGCTCCTTTGGATTTTCTTGTAACTACTTTACAGGACTTTATAATGGCTTTAACATATTTTTTATTTTTAATGCTTACAAATCAGCCTTTTGCGTAGTTTTTTTTGAGAACATTATTTTTATTTATTCGTGACTCCCTTTGTCGGCTAACGCAAAATTATTGCGAATTCACTAAAAAATTCTTTGGGACAAATCCTTGAAAGTAACGAATCCAATTTAGACAATTTAGAAATCACCGATTTTGGTCACTTTTTTAGGATCTTTGAAAAGAGGATTTTGCTCTGTCCGAGAAGTCAAACTCCAAGCGTTTTTTGCTCCTCCTGGCGCGATCCCAAATATCATCCCGGCAGATCCGATCATCGTAAAAACCGCCAAGCTGATCAGATCCCCATCGAGACTCGCTAATATCCCTGTTCTCGCCCCCCAATCGCCGCCGGGCATCCCCCACCTCCTCCCGATAAAAAGCTGATCGAACCGGATTTATGGCTAACGCCGCAAAATCGCCGATCGACACTCGGTCTGCCACGGTTACCGATTGGGCCGGCTAGCAATTTCACTGGAAATCACATGTTTTTTTGGGTGCCAACCCCAAAAACCACCTCGTTCCGGCCGTTAATTGGTGCCCGGAGCGCCGGGAAGTTGGCTAATCTGTGGCTGCGTCCGGGCGGCGTTTTGTCCTTTCCGGCGATTGTCTAGATTTTTGGCTATAGTAGCGAAAATCTATTTTCTTGAGCTGGTAGTGTTTGTTACAGTAAATGACAGGGTGTATTTTCCATTTTCGGGGTTGCTTTACGGCATGATAGATCCACGGCCATTTCCGCATTTTGCGAGTTGGCGGATCTTTGGCTACGGCTAGGCGTTTTGTTCTTTCAGCAATTGTCTGGATTTTAAGGCTTGGTTCTTTCGCAGTATCGGTGGGGGGCACGAATTTTTGTTATCTTAATCTGAGAATGCCTAGTAACTTAATAGGAAGTTTTTCATGTTTTTAGTAATGTAAAACAATCTAAGAACTTACAAATTTTTTCAAATACTCGGATTTTTGGTCCAAAACGGCCATTTTTGAGTGAAAAATTATATATTTTTTCTATCCTTCAATAAAATTGTAAAATTGGATCCTAGGAAGAATTTTCGTGTCCCCCGATAATGCCAAAGAACTTTTAGCTGTACTAAGAGCTGGTGGTATTATTTACAGAAAATAATAAGGTGTCTTATGTATATCATTTTCAGGTCCCTCTATATTACTGCTTGATAGATACATCCACGGTCATTTTCACCTTTTTATGAGCCGTTCCGCGCTTTTCCAATTTCTCACCAACGTTCTCTCGCGGACAAATGGCACCTCCAGAAAAGCCAACGCGATGAGATGAGCCAATTGATCTCGGGCCGAGTTGCGGGCGGATCCCATTCGACTGGTCGAAATACGGCCACATACACACACTCCCCCACCAGCCGCCGTCTCATGCCCCCAGTCCTTCTTTGTTTTCAGCCACTTTTGCCGAGGCGATCTTTTCCGGGGAGTGTAAACCACCTGCCCGAATTGCCGGCACCGCCGTGGGCCACAGCGGCGTACGCCTCGACCAGCCTGGGCCCCACCTCTCCTTTTCTCTCTCGCTCTAGTGGCCCTTTCCCCCATTTTCTCGGCGTTTTACAATTTCGGTGCATGCTGGTGTCAATGTGGAATTCGTTTTTTTTTCGATCGAAAATCGATGGAATATCGAACTCAAAACCCTTTTGCGAAGCTTTGACACTACGCTGAGATACTATACCCCTTAGTTTGGAAAGTGGACAGTTGCGTACTGCGCTCTTTTTGAAAAAATACAAAATTTAGCTTTCGCCAACTCATAAATTCGCCGTTTTTCCTTCGTGGATTCCGCTTTCTTTGCAATACATGCAACATAAATTAAATTAATTTTAACCAAAAGATTCCTCGGTCTTTGTAAAACCCACTAATTTTAACCCTAGAAAATTTCTGGCACTTCAAAAACCACTTCTCTGCCTCCTAAAAATTTCCAAATTCCACTCCCCCAGAAGGCGTTCCGGGGGATAACCTCCTGCTTTTCCCATCCACGTCCCCCTGGCACCCCATTTCTCCTCGAAATATTTTCACCTCCGCTCCTCGAGACGACAACCCCCCGGTCTAGCCATCCGTCCATTAGCCGACGGATATTTCACCAACGCACATTTCCGGAGATCCCACCCGGCCGCCGCGGCCTCCGTCATAGCTGATGGATGCGATTAAAAATTCCAAACATCTGCACAGCAGCCAGCCCCACACACACACCTTCCCTCCGACATCCCTAATCGTTTTGCCACCTTGGCATCTCGGAAAAAGGCAAATTTTTAATCCGCTCCGACGACGCTTGCCTTTGATTCACCGGCGGACCCGGTCATTTGACATCCATTTTCTCGGAACATCAATTTTGCGTTTTTTTTGGGTGCTGTTTCGTTAGTTGGGGCTCACTTTTCCTATTTTCTTGTAGATCCCTATGGTCACAATGATATTTTAATGGTTGTTTACGCCCCTTTTGATTTTAAAAACGTATAAAAAAATCGGAAATTTTGGACAATTTTGTCAAACATTCCATACAGTCCTATTTTTTTAATACCAGGGAGCCAAGATCCAAGAAGAGACCCCCCCCCCACTAACGAAACAGAACCCATTTTTTTGATTCGCTGGTCCTAAAGCCCGTCATAATAATTCTCCGGATATATTGGCTTTTGCCGTAGCTTTTTTAGGTGCTATAGTTAGTTCCTGTCATCTCGGCCATTACTTTTTGGCCAGCTTTTTTTTGCCCGGAAATTGGCCGATAGCACCCCGGCCCTATGACATTTCCACAGGAACGATATACTATACTACTAACAATATACTTATGGCTTCCGCCCCCCTTCTGTCGCGCCAGACATGAACAATAAGCGTCTGCGGCACACACGGCTCGCGCGTTTGTTTTTTCATGTTGCAGTGATTCTTGCGTGGCCCGCCGGCTCGCCGAAAAATAGGACACCCTCCCATCAGCCATTCGGGGCCCCCCTGCGCGTGTGCTGCTCTCCGCTCTTGCTCCTCCTTTCGAAAGGGCACAAAAACAGCAGCATGCATACAAACAAGTGATGAAAAGTCGGCGCAGTGTGCCCTGGATATTCGGTCCAAATTTTGCAGGTTAGAACGGTCTCTTCTTGCTCTTTTTGCTTCTAAAAAAGTGCTGTTTTTTCTGTTCATCCGGAAAACGGCAAAAAATATCGATAGAAAATTACATTCTAAAATATTCTCGGCGGCGCATTTTTTGAAAATGACGAATTCAGTTTTTATCGAATTCACAAAATATTTTGTAGCAATAAACCCATTTTTATTTAAATCTTAAAACTTAAATTCTTTGAAATTTGATAAAATTAGGGATATTTATTTTGCAAAAATCAACATCGTACAGGAATCAGAATTGACTTCTTTATGGAATGAAAAAATGCGCTCTTTATTTTTCGCTTCGCTAAGGAATGAATCCTCAATGGAAAATTTGCTTTGTTTTTTTACTTTCTTGAAAATAGGATTAAAGTCGAGATTTCGTTTCTTTCCCCGCTAATAAATCCCGTTGACTGCCCGCAATTAACTGACCCCACCTGGCCTTGCCCCGTTTCCCAATTTTCCGCGGCGCTCCCCCCAACATACACAACCAGCAAAAAGCCAAACAAACAAGCACACCACGTCGTGGTCGTTGCCCCCAAAAGTAAAATGAAAGTAGAGGTGGTCGCCGGTGTACCGGGCGAGTCGACCGAACCCCGCCGCACCACTCGGCCCCCATGTGATCGGGGGCCCCCGCCGTGTTTGTAGACTTACCTCGCCAATACTCGCCGATTTTTCGCGCTGAACCGGCGACCCCGGATCGATTGCATAGTATCCGCTCCATGGCCTTGCCGAGTTTTTTGCTATGCCTTTTCCGCCCTCCCTCGCCGCCCCGAATTTACACGCCCCAACACAGGCGACTGGCCAGCCGAATGCCATTTCCGCATTTTGCTGCTGCACTCTACCCGGAAAATCGGCCAACCGGCTGGTTGCATTTCTGGCGGGTTTTAGCTTCTTGGCTTTCTAGTTTTTATATTTTTTATTAAATTTTACAGGGGTTGAAAAAATTAGGTTTAGTTCGTCTGGGTTTTTTGCTACTGGTCTGGAAATATTTTTCGATTTTTACTGATTTTTCTAAAAACTTGGGCAAGACATACTAGGTGTCTTGTCGCCCATGGATTCCCTACATCCGCGACACGCAACGCGCATGGCATCCGAATTTAAGTTGCGTAATGGACTATGGTTCTGATTAGGCAAGAAAGCGCCGCGTTGCGTGTCGCCGCAAGCTCTACAAGAAATTAATAGTCGGATAAAAAGCATTATGCCTTTTACCTCATTCTGTAGCCGCGACACGCAACGCGCACGCCTTTCCAATTTCTTTTGCGTAATTGATAAGATTATTGGTTTAGGAGAGCCTCATTAGGCGAGAAAGTGGAGCGTTGCGTTTAGCAGGCGCGGAAAAACATTGGATAATCCTTGATCGACAAAATCCATAGCCTTGCCCACCTCTTCAGACACTATAATCGGCTTACGTTAACGATAGTTCATTGTTCCTCTTCTCATCCTCTATTTTTCAATACCGAATAGGCCATGGTATTACCCTCGCATCATTTCCTCTTTATCATCCATCCCCCGCAAAGGGGAATCACTATCAGCATTCCCGCTATTTTTCACGCTTTTCCAAATTCCGTGTCCTCAGATGGGGCCATGTGCGCCATCGCCCTTTTTCACGCCGTGATATTCTCTCGGGTGGTGTGCACCGCGCGGCAACAACCGCCCATCCATTTCAGGGTCCCACACATTTCCTCAGCAACCCGCCTCGTCTCGCTGGCTCTTCCCCTTGATTCGTGGATGAGCCCGGCGCGCCATTATTCTGACGACAACGACTTTGCTGTGCTATAGTTATTAAATATTATTTCTAAGCCAGCGGCACCGGCTCTACTCATCCAAGCTCTACCCCGGCATTGCAATAATTTGCCGCCGGTGGTACCCCACTTCTACAGTCTATTTGCAGTGTGGGTGTGCAGCCCGGGGAGAGTGTGCTTTTGGGCCAAAGTCGCCTAAAGGTTCTGCTGGGTCCGGTTTTTCGCCCCGGATTTCAGCCCCTCCTCGACTGTCTATACCCCCCGAATCTCTTCTGCCAGCCGGCTGGGTGGGTGCCCTTTGACCCAACCCCCCAAAATACGCCTCTCTTTTTCCCTGGGCATCAACTTTTGCTGAAAATTCGCCCGTAATCGATTCGACGGTTCTCCCCCCAAAAACCACCCGCCTGCCTGTGCTCGTTTCACGCGCGGCAAACAATCGGCCTCTCTCTTCCACTTTTCGACAAAACGGCCATATTTCGTGCTCCCCCCGCTAATTGACGAGCCCCCGCACCGCTACGCTTGACACCAAATTCCGGCCGTCGACTGTATGGTCTACACGGGAGCAGCCCCGCTGCGCACGCAGAATGGCCCCGGGTACTGGGGCAAAGGGAAATCCGTTGAACCGGCGAATAACATCAACCATCTATATTGGAACCAGCCGGTGACCGCCTATTATCCGGAACACAATTCGAAATCGTCGACACTGCCGGCAACTCGTCGGCAATACCAACCTTTCCCGCTGACCCTGCCGCAGGGGTCGCCCAAATTGGCGCCCAGAGGCTTGCCGAGACAGAGCAGCCCGGAAGGCTTATATCAGAATGTCCCCAGCCAAGCCGCACATACAGTGGGCAGTCCGCGGGCACCCCAGAATGGGGTTGTTTACGCGAATGGGAGGGCTGTGGAAAATGGATACCATCAGAAGACGGCACCGAGTCGGCCTGTAGGCCAGGGCTATAATCAGAATCCGCCTACCAGCGGTGTCTGGACCACTCAAACTGACCCGACGATAACCCAGATTCGGCGCTCGACACCACCGCGGTTTTTCAGAGGTTTTTATTAAGTTTTAGTAGTGTGTGGTTTGTGGGTTTTTGGTGAGGTGTTGCTAGAGTTCTAATTTTTAATTTAATGGCTCTAATTTTAATATTAGCGCAAATTTCCGATACGAATTGACTACACTCGTCTTAGTTCGCGAGAAATTAATTTTTAAAGCAGATTTAAATTAGCTTAGGATGGTTTTAAAAATCAGGTTTAAACAAGTAAAATTTAAAAATAAATGCCAATGTAAGGTTCGGGGCAGCTCGCCACCGCCTTTGTGGGACATAAAAACCTAGTACTTTTGACAACCTATTTTCTAAGGTCCTGACAACCCCGGGGTGAGTCTCCAGGTCTAGCCGACATCGGGGCTTAAGGCATTTTAATGAGAGCGCGAGCTCCGGGGCACCCAGGCCAGCCGGGTCAGAATTCCTGCCCCCCTTCTATCCGTCCCACTTGATTAATTCCGCCTCTTTTCAGAGAAAAATCGTCAATCCTCCTCGCGTACAAAGCCGCCGAGATGGGGGCGCTGGATGCAGTCGTTCTGCTGCTGCATGACTCCACAGCAGGAAATTGGTGAGTGCTCCCCATTTTGAGCGAAAGGGCTCTTTGGCCCCGCAGTTCTTGTCGCTATCAGCTGTCGAGTTTCGGGAACTACTCGGGTTGGATGGGGTCCCGGCTTTGCGTCAAAACTTTTTGGACTAACTTGCCCTCGAGGTCTGGAACGAGACCTTATGATTTTCTATGAGCTAGGGGCAAGTTTTGGTCCATTTCTTGATACCAATTTTTTGCTTAAAAGTGGAAATTCGGCTTTTAAGATAGGTTCGCACTGATTAAAGTCTAGTTTTACTTAGGCTTTACTCGAAAAATTATGCCTGAGATATATTAATTGAAAGTCTACGTAAAAAATAAATTTTCTTTTTAATGACCCGTAGGCAAAAAGCTACATTCGTTTTATCAGCGAAGAAAATTCCTCCTCTCGGTTTTTCTCCTTCAAAAATAAACTTTATTTTTAGAACCGGTTCGCACCAACCGCGGCCCATTGATACCAGTGGTCGGAGGCCCCGGCGGGTCCCCGAACGGCAGCACCTCGTCGACCCAAAAGCTGCAGAACAACAACCAGGGCGAACACTCGGCGGCTCCCACCCCCATCCAGCGGAAGCCGTCCACCGGCGTCGAGAATTTGATCACGCAGGTTTGTCTCGAGCTCGTCGTAATTTTTTTAAATAAACTAAATCGCAATTTTTCAATCTCTTTATCGATCCTGTTTTCAGGTGAACAGAGATGGAACGATCACCGTGCCCCAACCGACTGATGCCCAGAAATCCGAGTCGGCAAACATTGTCAAGGTAAATAAAAATTTTCGCGTTCCCCCAGCAATTTTCCAGCATCACCGTGAGTCATTAAGAGCAGAGACGGTAAATATTAATCAAAGTTTTTTCTGGGCCTTTTTATGTTTGCTTTTTAATTTGGGCTAAATAACAGTAAAAAAACCTAATTCTGTAATTTTAGGCTCATCAACAGGCCCACCAAATCACGCCCAACGGGATCCCCGTGACACACAACAGCCAGGGCAGCCTGCAGACGTTCTTCGACAACTTGAAGGTTGGTTTGAGGAGCGTTTTAGAAGAGAAAAAGAGAGCTTGGCGGTTGTGGTTATTAAGAAAAAAAAATAGGGAGGATTTTGAATGTTGAATTTTGTTATTTCCTTCCGGTCGCCGGCAATACGCATTTCATCATCAGCAAACGTTGGTATTTGGAAAGTTCAGATTTTGCGCTATTTTTCTCTGGGACAATCATGACAAATGCAAAATGCCATCCACTGAAAAATAGCGCTCGTTTTAATAAGTAAATGATACCTTGTGGATTGTGATTATTGAGGAAAAATGGTGAGGGTTTGAAATGTCAAATTTTGGTCTATTTGCTTCCGCTCGCCAAGACATCATGCTAATGCATAATGCAAAGGCCCACTGCTGAAAAACGAAACCAAAAATGCGCATTGAGTGGAGTGCATTGCCCCCGCTATTGCTATTGCTATTGAACGGTTCGACGAATTGGGAATGGCCAAACGCAAACAGCTCGCCCACCACCCCCACCACCCTCGCTAAAACACTCACGATTACGCGCGGCGCGTACTGGCTGGACTACTTGTAGGCGATGTTTGCTGGCGGTGAAAAGAAAGTTTCTGTTTGTGCATTTGCCCCACGCGCGGATTAGGGTCCCTTTAATGCCTTGGACTGCCCCCCTAAACGGGCGCCAAATAGAGAGGAACCTGGGTTTTTTGTGTGAAATCGGTCATTCGTGCGTGAACGTCCCTTTCGTTACGTTGGCTTATTTGGAGAATTTTCACTTTTCCGGCAAAAAATGCATGATCTATCGTTTTTTTCTAAAGTTTGTAGTGTGCGATTCCGGCCATAATTCCAATATTCATGTCTCGATAATACCGAAATCTAAAATCCCGACATGCTAAAATCCCGATAAGGAATAATCTAATTTTACGCCCAAAATTCTCTTCTGTGAAGTGCAACCTTCCGGCTGCAGAGAAAAATTCTAACTATACAAGATTCTAAAATTGAGATTCTAACTTCGATATTCTGAAAATTCGAGATTTCCCTAACAGATTCCCCTAATCGGCATGTCGGTATTTTGGACTTTTTCTCCGGACTCGTTGACCCAGCGGAATTTCTCATTTAAAGGCCGTCCCGATACCTTGAGTGTCAGCGTCAACCCCGTCTCGAGCCTGTTCTTTGAAGCCTAGCCCCCAAAACCCCGACTAAATTGCCATTTCGGCCTCATCTTCCCGGGTTCAAGATTTATCTGGGCTCTCGGAGGCGCAAGCGGGTCAGCAATTGCCCTATGTGGTGTGTCGTTGAAGATGGCGTGTGTGTGGGCCCGTTTGTGCCCGCATGTCGGGCTGTCCACCTCTTCTTCGACCATGCCTTTTCGGGCGGTTGGCCTTCTGCATCCGGCGTGTCGTCTGCCCCGTCCCGATTCACCCGGCTCTCTGGCTTCACATCGTCGTTTCTCCAATAAGGGCTCGCCTCGTCCCTCTACATCCACCCGCCTCCTCCCCCGCCCGCACACACACACACAAGCCCATAACGGGATCTCTACGCAAATACGGCACATGCACACACACACAGAGCCAGCAGCGCTTTGTTTCTCGCAATGTTGAAAAACGATCCCGTTTCGATTTTTTGGGCCGTTGTTTTACTCCTATTTAATTCCCCCGTTTATCTTCATTTTGCTAGACCGCCTATTAATTGTAATCCTGACTTCCTAGTTTCTTTAATTCGACCGGCGCTTTTGTTTTTTTTAACGTTAGCAGGTCACTATTTAGGGCTCGAAGATAATTTTAATTTTTCGTCACCTTTACGGCTTGTAAAAGGTCTAATTTAAATTCTTAATTTGCCATTTTTATGTAACATAATACCAGCGTTTTGTTCTAAATCTAGAATTCTCCAAAGTGGCCTCCAGCGCAAAGCAGAAATTTTCGAGTCTTCTGGCAATTTGTTTAGATTTAGATCTAAATTTGGGTTTTTTCGCCAGCTTTTTTAATGACGCGCTTTCTACCCTAAATAAATACGATTCTCCAAAATTCCCGACCGTAAAGCCGTCTTTTGCCAAAATTAGCGGCAACTTCTTTATCTCGCTGCTCCAGCTGGTCTTCCGATTCAACCATATTCCGAGCCACTGCTTATCACCACCCCCCGCTCCCTTTCTCTTGACCACCATCCGGCTTTTCCTGCGCTGCCAATAAGCATCCATTCCTTTTTGTCTTCCTCCCCGGGGCCTCATCCACCATTTTTGGGCGGCGATGAGATGACGTGACTTCTGCTTTTGGCTCGACCACCTCGGCTGCCTCCAGGCAACCAGCCTGCCTCGTTAGCTTCCGGCGTTTTTGCCCCATTGCTTCGAGTGCTTCCGTTTTTTGGAGGGAGGCAAAATTTGCCTCCTCTTCTCCCCCATCCCCCCGCAGAACTCACCACCATCTTCTCTCACGAAATGAAAAGTTGGTTATCGAATTAGCTTTTGGGGGCGCATCGATTTTCGGGTTCTGGACTGTTAGCGGGGGGGGGCGGCAGTATTTGTATTTCGACCTATACCGTTTATGTTTAATGTATTTGATCGTATTTTCAGTAGCTTTTGTTTGCTAAAAGTTATAAAAAATATTTTTTAAATTTAGAAAATTCGACAATTTTACGTTTTTGGTCATTTTTCCATACATTTTCGACCAAAAGGTCAAAAATTTTCGGAAATTTATTATTATTTTTGCTTTCTTTGTATATCTCAAAGCTATTTAGATCCTATAAACATGGCTTATATTTGGTTATAGGGCCCTAGACAACATAGGCAAAAATTCGGTCCCCCGCTAACAGTCCAGGACCGATAATTGGGGTTCGGATTTTTCATTTTTTTGGGCTTCTAAACTTTCCACTTTCCACTGTCATTGCACCGGAACGATCGAGTTTTGTCCCGTTCCATGCCAACTCCTTCCTCTCGTCGCAACCCTCTTGGTATGCCGTTGGCAGCTCCTCGACACGAGGCGATAGGATCTGGGATTTGTAGCACGTTTTTTGCCGCGCGCCCCCCTTCCTCTGAATCCCCCCGTCCGAAGCTCGCATTTGCACTCAATGTGCTTGAGCGCAAGAACAAACAGGTTTCACCCCACACCAGTCGGCGCTCATTTGATTCGGCACCGGTCTCTGGTCGACGTTTTCTGCTCCTTATGAATCTTAATTGGCCCTTGCCACTTTGGGATACTTGAAATTTGTCTGGCGCTTGTTTTTCTAACTTTTGGATTCATCAGAAATTTATAAAAAAAATTTGGTTCTTTCGCATTATCGGGGGGAAGGGGAGAAATTTTTTCATAGGAACCAATTTTTTCAATATAAATAGCGGGAGCCTTTCTAAGCCTAAACGTAAAACTTTACAAATTTTTCATTAAAAAATACAAAAATCATATATTTTCGACCAGAATGTCGACTTTTTGATAAATTTTCAAAATTTTCAAGATGGCATTTCTAGCTATAATAGTTTTTATCTCCTAAAACCATTAGGAAATTATTTACTCTTCATTTACTAAGTATTCCTAGATTAATACAAAAAATTTGTCCCCCCCTGCCCCGATAATACGAAAGAACCAAGAAATTTAACGGTGAAATTCGTCGACATTTGTATCCCAAATTTTTGACGATATCAAGCTTTTAGCAAACTTTTATGAAATTCTGCGGCTTTATAGCGCCTACATGTTATCCAGGACTGTTGTGTTATGTCTAGCTTTGCCTCTCGCCCAGCTGACTAGACTAATTGCCCAAGCCGGCCACTTCCTTGCCCTTGAGGAATTTCAGGAATTAGCACATGCTCCTCCCTTTCCACCATCCCTCCGTTTAATTCCCTTCCCGGATCACAACAATCATTGGCCCTTCTTGCTCAGCCCTCCAGTTGCCCCGTAGGGGAGTCAGGTGTTTTTCAATTTCCGGGCCCTCCATCTCCTGCTCCACCGATCCCCCGCCAGCCTCGTCTGCTTTTTGGGCCTCGAGTCATGCCCCGAGGGCCCCAAGCCGAGAAACCACTGTTCACGCTGACTGCCTGCCGGTGGGCCATATGGCTGCACGCAGCAGAATCGCACGCGAATTGCCTTCCCGCTTCCCGCTCTCCCCCACTTAACGCCCCACCTCTGACCCCCACCCTTCATACCGGGCCCCCCTCCGATCCACACGGGGCAGCTGTTGCTCTCGAGCACTGACGAACCCACCGGCGCTGAACTTCCAGCCTTCCTCCCCACTCCCGGGCACCCATCTCTCTTCAAGCCGCCTCAAAAAACGAGACGACGCAAGCCTCGAAAGACGAGCCCCAGATCAATTCCACCGCCCCGGGGTTGACCTGGCTGTCTGAGGTGTTCGTCGCATTCCGCGGGGCACTCAACTCGACTGGGCTGTGATTCAGTTTCCGGAGTTATTGTTATTGCTGACATTCCACGGCATTCCAGTGGCGTTTTAGCCTCTCTGACGGGTGTTTGGCTATATCATATTCCTTGAAACAGGTTTTAAGCTGATTATTTTGTTTCTGAGAGTCAGAAACACGGCTAGCTGGATTTCGAAGGTTACTTAATATTCCTTAATCTAGCAGAACGCTAACTGCCGAGCATTTGGCTGTATCATACCTTGAAACATCTTTTACGCTCATTTTCCGGCTACTCAAAATCATAAACTCGTTTATCTGAACCCCACAAGCCAACCTGATATTCCCAAAACTCAGAAAATCATCACTACAGATGGCTTGCACGATGAGGCCATCAGCCGCCTTGGCCACCTCATTCCTTGACACCGGCCTATCGGCTCTAACCCCCCTCGAACACCTCCGAATCCCAAGCGAACCGGTATTTTGTACACCACAGGATTTGGCCAGGCGCTTCTTCAATCGCAGCCGCCCGCGCATCCGCCGGCGCTACACGTTCCCCATTCGTGATTCCTCAATTTCCCCCTGTACCTCGGCTACAGCTTCTCGGTCCACGTCCCCGAGCCGATGGGCTGAACCGCTGGAACTTCCGGAAATCCGGATACCACAGCCGATCACGGTGCACAGCTCGAGTCAACCGAACGGGGCTCAAGAATCGGTGTATATTCGCTTAACTCCGAGACTTCCGGATCGGATACCGGATGATGATGATTCTATCGAGTACTGTCAAGTCTACCATATTATTGTCACTTTCCCCAGCGTTGTGTTCCGGGTAGCCAAGTGCTTCAAAACGGTTCGAGGTTAGTCAGTTTTTCGGTCTCTCGCTCCCTCCCCCCTCTCTCTCTCTCGCCGCAATACAATCTACACATTGAAACCGCGTGAATAGGAACCCGGTGTAGCCGCTTTCGCGACAAAATTGGCTTTTCGACAAACACTAACCGTATTCCCTGAACTGCTCGCCATCTCTGGTCTCCGACTAGGACAGCATACTTCCTCACTGCCTCCAAATAGATCGTTTCATGAATTTCTAATCCCTCCGCCCCACCATGCATTTGGCAGCCCTTTTTTGACCACAACAGCGCGCCTCCACTTTTTTTCATCTGGCTCCTGGAGAATTCCTTCGGACGCGTTGGCTTCTTCCCCGTCCATCGCTCGGCCCAACGGCTCATCTTTACGAACTGTTACTGTTAAAGAAATGAGACCGCCGCGCCGCTTCATGCAACGCCAAGTGTACGTCGACAACCGGTCGACGTTCTCCGAGGAGTTCGACTCGCTGCGGGACCCGGCGTGCTATATCGCAAACTTGGTGATCGCGCCCGGGCGGACGCCGTCTGTGGCCGAGATCATGCGCATGGGGCTGATCGGCCGGAAGAAGGTAGCTGAATGGAAAATATTCTGTAAAACCGCGGGGCTTTTGGGCTACGTTTTGCATAAAAAGGTCAAAATTGGTTCACATGCGGCCCGAAAGGGCACAGATGGCTTTGATGTGACCCGAGAATTGGCCCAGTCAAAATTTTATGGGGGCAATTCCGCGGAAAAACTTTTCTTGGGCAGTAACCACAACCGCCAAGTGTCATGGGGAAATTTGGGGAATTCTGGGAATTTTCGGATACGGCTTTAATCTGTTTTTAGCCAAGCGAGAAGCTCTTGCTGCCCCCGATCCGTCAGCGTGACATCAACAAGAAGTGTCTGGTGATCGACTTGGACGAGACGTTGGTCCACTCCTCGTTTAAGGTATCCGCTTGAATTACCTTAAAATCGCTTGAAAGTACCTGAAAAAAATTTAGTAATTCCGGGAGAATCCGAGTTTTTACGTTACGCTATTTTACATTATTTTTACGGATCATTTATAGAAAATCGTAGCAGTGTATTGTATTTTTGGTAAATTTAGCGATATTCTAGGGAGGACAGCTATCTAGAAACTTTAAAAGTGTTTAAAAATTACTATTTTGCTGGGAAAGTAATTTCAGGTTCCAGAAATTTTTATTTTTCTATTGCTGTTGTATTTTTTTCCCATTTCAGCCAGTGAAAAACCCGGACTTTGTCATCCCGGTCGAGATAGACGGGTGCATACATCAGGTCTATGTGCTCAAGCGCCCATTCGTCGACGAATTCCTTGCCCATGTCGGGGAGAAATTCGAGTGCATCTTGTTTACCGCCAGCCTTGCCAAGGTGAGGGAGCGAATTCTGATTTTTGGGGTAAACGTGGAATGTAAAATTATTTAAATTTTCTAATTAATAAATTTCTATTCCTTTTAAATGAATGTGAATTAATTTTAATTTAAATTTTAGTACGCCGACCCTGTTTCTGACCTCCTCGACAAGCGCAACGTGTTCCGGTCGCGGCTGTTCCGCGAGGCCTGCGTGTTCCACAAGGGAAACTACGTGAAAGATCTGGCTCGACTCGGGCGTGACCTGAACAAGACGCTGATCATGGACAACTCGCCGGCCAGCTATGCATTCCACCCTGAAAATGCTGTAAGTGTTTTATAAAAAATTGATGTGTTCTCGATGAAAGCTTTAAGATAGTTAAAATTTAAATTCTATTTTTAATAGTAGAGGGGGAAATAAAATTGGATTCTGAATAACGTATATTTTCCAGATCGCCGTCCAGACGTGGTTCGACGACCCGCACGATTCCGAGCTGCTCGAAGTTTTGCCGCTCTTGGATCGGTTAGTATTATGAAATTTGAGCAAATATAATTTGTTAATCGTTATATGAAATTTATTTTATTTCACTTATGAAGCTCAAAAATATATAATCCTTGATTTTTAATTGATTGAATAAATGTTATTGATAATATTGATTTTTACAGGCTTGCCGACTGCGAATCCGTGTACACCGTACTGCGGCGGAGCGAATCCCCGGATCCCCGATCGGAGCGCAGCTCATCCTGATTCCTCGACATATCCGGCCCACACTGACCGGCCAATACATTACTGTACTTTACTTTCCAAATGACGAAGAAACCCGAGTATGTACATGTCCCCCCTCCACCCTCGTCCGATTTATGAATCCCGGTTTAGCGCCTGTAAACAATGTTTTTGTTTTTATCTTCCCTTTTTACCCACTTCATTTCATGTGGCCTTGTCCCAGCGAACGGGTGCCCATTCCTCTGACTTTCCCCTTGCCGGGGTAGGCTTCTTACTATGTTCAATCTTGCGTTGTCAGGTTCCGCCCCGGAATATTTTACTATTTTGCCTTTCCCACTCCTTTAGACCACCATCACCACTGTTTAGAACCACGACCGAGTCACATTTTTTATTGTTTCAAAAGTATTTCACCCCCGAGATGTATTCTGATTTTTCTCGTCCATCACCCGGTTTCTCATAGATTTCTATATGGCACTTTATACAGTTTCTATATATTTAGTCGACGCTAGTCATCCTCCCCAATGGCGAGTCAATGCTATTGTATCGAGCCCGTGATTCGCTTGTATCCCCCGGTGGTCCTTTCAATCGCTCGCGGCCCTTCCTCCATTTTCCCAACAGCCATCCCTACTTTTCGGTGAATTTTCGTGTCTTGATGATGATAATGTTTGCTCAGAAGTGTAGCCCCTGGTTTTGTAGTCCGGAATTTTAAATGTTTCCTGTTGAAAATTCTACGTGAAACCTAGGTCCGCGCGCTTCCCAAATTTTCTGCAAACTGTGATCCGTTAGATGGGGTTGCACCGGCGGGAGCCGGCTTTATCAACTCCGGTTTCCGGTCCGGCCGTTACTATCCACAAAATTCGCCTATCCACATTGTAGCGGCTACTTTTCCTCCTCTTCTCTCATGTGCCTTGGGCCATCCCCCTCCCCCCTTCCCATCCACCGATTCCCAAAGATTTCTATTGCCCTGTTGCACGCCCAGTTTTTTTTTGTGTGCAAGAGGCTGATTGTTTGAATTTTATTGTAGTCTATAACAGCCCCGTGAAGAAATGAACTGTTTGATTGGACTGCTCTCTCGATTCGAAACTTACCCATCCCCGTATTTGACAATTGTTTGCCCCCAAGCCCCCCACTTTCGCTTGACACGTTTAGACACTAATAAACTTTACAAAATTTATGTTTTGAGGGAGATCGCACACGAGTTGGGTATATTGAAAGAGGTCGTAGAGATGCGGATGTTTGAGAAATTATCGACATTTTCGGTTTTTCGCATTACGGGGAACAAACTTTTTCTTAGTCTATTTTTTCAAATATAAAGCGGAGCTGTTTCTAAATTGTTTTTATTTTCTATTCCTTAACAAAAAAACTTTACAACATTGTGTTAAAAATATCAAAAATATAGAGTTTTTCGACCAAAATGGCCGATTTTTTTACCAAAATGTTTAAATGTTTAACTTTTTAGAAGTTTTTATTTGAAAGCTAGTTGTTTTTTACTAAAAAGACTTCAAACTCTTACTATTCAGTTAATAGGCATTTCTAAGCTTATACAAAAAAGTTCGGTTCTTTAGGATTCCCGGGGGAAAGTATTCCGGGGAAACCAATTTTTTCCTGGTGGTCCCGGTTGACCTAGTAATCAAATATAAAGTGTTTTCGAATTGTTTTTAGTAAGTTTTAACTATATTTAAAGCAGAATAACTTTCAGAAAAATTTAGAAAAATGTTTGAAAAAGTCGAAAATTTGGTCGTTTTGGGTCTATTTTTCGACCTAATTTTTAATTTTTTAGATTTTTTTGGTTAAAATGTGTGTAGTTTTTATGCACAGGGATAGTTAAAAACAATTTAGAAACGCATCCGCAATTTATACAAAAATCTAGGCTTTCGCCGAAAAATTTGTTTCCCCGGAATACTTCCCCCCGGAATACTTTCCCCCGGGAATCCTAAAGAACCAAAAGTTCGGTCCCCCGATAATGCGAAAGAACCAAATTTTGCAGAAATGACTAAAAAAGAAGAAATACAGACATACGGTAATAGAATTTGAATATTCTGCAGTATCTTTTTGAGCTGAGACATTGTCTAGTAAAAATCGTCAAAATCAGCTAGCTAATTTTTATACAGGGTGTCCCAAAAAAACGAACCATCTGGCATTTCGCCGTGTTACATCCGATCAGCCCCAAAATTGGAACAGAGGTGTATCAGACCATAAATAACGACAATCCTGACTTTTAGCCGCGTAGCTCCAGTCGTTCTCGAGTTATAGCAAAAACAAACTCTATTTTCCGTTTTTCGTAGGGTTTTCGTGGAATTAGACCCCCTAGACATTAAGTGAAATTGTTCCGATAGGCCTTCTTTACCTTAAGAATTTTTTTCCAGAGTAAAATTAATTAAATAAGCTTCGATTTAAGCGATTTTTACAACGCAAAATTTTTGGGACACCCTGTATATGATGGAAACTGCGACTACGCTACAATAAAATCCGAACACTTCGAAGGTACCTGCACGGATTTATTGCCTTTCTGAAAATCCTGCTGAGTACACTCAATAAATAAATACATATACCTCCATTTACACCGTAACCTTGCCACATCTATTGAAATGGTTCAGGCGGTGCGCTTCGGTGTGGAGATGAGAAAATTGGCGGCCGCCGGCTGGAGGGTGTGCGCATGAGCCGGGAATTGCGCTTCCGATCGGCTCAACCATCCGTCGGAGGCGCACAGTTCGGCCCGGGGGCGCTTCACCCGGATTAATTGCCTCCCAACCCCGACTCGGGTGTTCGTTTCGAGGCTTATGCTCTGGAATTGCCTAGAACTTGATGAATTTCTTGATTTTTTTCAGAGTTCAGCTTTATATATAAAAAAAGAATGTAATGAAAAAAAATGATTTTAACAGATAATCTGAATTTTTAAACGAAGCATCTGGATCTTAAGTATTTATAGTCTTTTAAATAGTTTTTTTTCACGCAGCGTTACGTTACGTTTTTAAATTTTAAGTCCCGGCCCAGACACATACGATGGACTCATCGAATCCCCCAACCAATTTTCTTTGATTGTATTTACTTGGAGCTGTGGAGGCGTTTTTGACAGGTCTGCAAAGAGAACTGCGCTCTGCCCCTCAAGGGTTTTTTAAGCCGGGCCTTTTGTCGAACTGGTCTTATTTGGCCTGCTATCTTTAGCTAGCACGCAATCCTCTAGAGTAGCTAGCGGCTTTTTAAATCATGCGCACGCCCATTACAGAATTGCCGCCTTCTAAAGAGTTCGCTGTACAACTTCCAAGAACTGTAGAAGTGAAGCTATTTGGCAAATTTTTACGATCCATGAAGGTTTTCTTTCCGATCGACTTAACAAGAGAAAACGCATCAAATCTTAAAAATCTTGCAGAGACTGTCGCTCCGACAAAGTTCAGAAGTATTTATTTGTCCTGTCCTGGCTTTTCAAAAAGCTACGTGCGCGACCGCGTTAGTCCGTATGTCATGGGCCGTGTAGATTTTTACCAGCGACCCCACAGCTGTTTGGTCCCGCTTTCTCCCATTCTAGATAGCTGTAAAAATTTCGCTAAATGTTCTACTAATTTTTCTAACCCTCCCTTGTGAATAATTCCTAACCTGGGCCATGGAGAAGCAGCGGGGCATTGTGATCAATTATCGAGGCGACTCTCCGCCGCGGGACCCCGGCCAGATCTCCTTGACTGGCTGGCTGTTGTGGATGTATGTGTCTGTATGTGTGTGTGCGCGCTGTGTAATAGCCGTCCCCTCACGCTATCGCGCCTAACCCGTTGGCCATTTTCATGAGGCCTCAAAAAGATGTTGTTCCGCTGGGCGGGCGTGTCGAAAGAAGCACACAGCTGATCGGGGGCAGATGAGTTGGTTATAGGTTGGAGATGAAAAAATTTTGGGGTTGGATCTCGGGTTAAAAAATTGTAAATTATATCCCAAAAATTCCACGATTTTGTAGCAGTCCCGCGTATTCATGATAGAAATACGGTAGTAACATCCTGGAGCTCGTGAATAATCAAACGTTTTCTAGCGTGGGAGAAGTTTATCGGGGGAGGAGGGGGGCGCCTTTTTGTGTATTAAATAACATGATTTTGAGCTGTATATAAAACCCTTAGTATATTTTTAATGCTTTGTCGAATATCGTTAACCGAATCGCGAAAAATATAGAAAATTCCGAAAAATAGCTTCCCAGCCCCATTTTCAGGGTTATTTTCGCTTTTGTTATAATTTTTTAAATTCTTGTGTTTTGGTCTAGAATGGAGTTTTTAGGATTTTGTTTTGTTGCGCTACCGGGTCGCGATGATGAAGTCCCCAAAACTAATAAAATATTCAACAATCTATGAAAATAAGCCCCCCCCCGCTAACGAACCAGTACCAGCTGGTTTTCAAAATTTTCGTTTGAGGTTTTTTGGAGTATTCTGTAGCTTCTCTGACAGCTTGAGCAAGTAGCAGCGTGATTTTTCACCGAGCCGGAAGCGAAATCACCTAATTTTCACGAGAATACATTCTCCTGAATGCCGTGTGGAACTGCTGCCAACGAATTTCCGGGCACCCGGTTGGAGTGGTGGTGGGATGGCTTGCTTCTGTGGCCCAGGGAGAGGGCCCGAGCTTTCGAGTGCCCTCAACAGATTTCGTCGCAAGAATTGACTGATCCCATCCCTCTTCGCCGATCCGGGCGGCCGGGCTTTGGCTCATCGAATTATTGATTTTTTGGGTAATTTTTTGTTGATTTTAAAGCTAGAATTTTGAAAACCGAAAGATTCGATTTTTTGGATGGGCTAAACTGATTTTTTCGATAAATCGGAGGGCTTTAAAATTAATGTAGGTTTTTACGAACTGATTTTACTTAGCCAACCAATTGTTCATGCGTAAATTGTGTAATTTTTGGCTGGTTTTCGAGTTAGAATTTGAATATGATAGAACTCGATCTTTCAACCATTTTCGTTAATTTTTGAAAATTAATCCGGGCGCTATAAAATTAAGCCCTAGTTCGTATTAACCCCCCCCCCTGGCCACTTGTTGATGATCAGCCAGCC